GTTAGACCAATAGCTTTACTAGAAACTTTTAGGAAATGTGTAACCAAAATTGTAACTAGATGACTAGCAAAAGTTCTCACGAAAAAAATATTTTAAAGGGTCCAAACTATGTAGGCTTGCCTGGTAACTCGACAGAGGAGCCAGTACAAATTGTAAATGCAATAATAGAGGACACAAAGGACAATAATAGAGAGCTATAGTTAGTTCTGCAGGATATGAAAAAAGCTTTTGACTTGATATCTTTGAAATTTCTAAAACTGGCAATGAAGAGGCTTAAGATCCCACAGATAATGATATCCTTTATCTTAAATCTATTCAAGAGTAGACAGTCCAAAATCATAACAGATCTGGGTACCACGCAATGCTTTGAAATAAACGACAGTATCGAACAAGGAGAGGTTTATTATCTCTAGTTTGGAAGATCTTTTATGACCCACTACTTTCAAGAATTCAAGAAAATCCTAATTTGGGTTATACAGTAATACAAAGAATTTCATTTAATTACAGTTTAAATCAAACAACAGGAAAGAGTTTGAGACAAGCAGTGGTTGCTTATACTGATAACACCACATGGATAGCAGAAAGTAGAGAGCAAATGAAGAAAACTATTCAGATAGCAGAAGAATTCTTTGAATTTAACAATATACAAATTAATGGAAAGAAGTCAAAGCTAATTATTTGCAACTCATCGAAAAGCAAAAAAAAATCAAAAACTTTTCTTCAGAAAAGAGTGGCTATCAGAAGAAGGAAAGAACAAGATTACAAGATTCTTAGGAGTCTGGTTGAACAACAATTTAGACGAGTCCTTAGTGAAAGCCAAAGCAAAAGAAATTGTTCGTTTAACTACAAGAATCCTAAATTCAAAGAAATTATCTGTAGCACAGGCGGTGTATATTAATAACATGTGCATAGTACCAAAGTTGTGCTATATTCTGCAAGCTTCTAGATTCAAACAGAGAGTAATTAACAATCTATAGTCCTCTATACTTATATTAACAAAAAACAAAATAGAACTTGCAAAAACGACCAACAATAGTATAGTTCTACATAAAAGTATTGGTAGCTATAATGTTTTATAGGATAAATTGTTAACAAAACAGATCTCAAGTTTACATCTTCGACTAAATACTTTAGGCCCAGAAGAAATTCTGATATTATTGAGAATAATATATGGTATTAGATCAATAGAAGCAACAGAAAACACATGGTACGAAGAGCCGCCTAATATATATGAATGTTTGTAGAAGAATAACTTAGCTTGTCGAACAATACTAAATACCAAAGAGCTAGAAATTACTTTTAAATTCAGAAATACAGACCTTATAACAGAAAACAGAGAGTACAGATTAGCAAGTATACTTAAAAAGAATTTCACATAATGGTAGCAAAGACCTTAAGAAAACTGAATTTAATTTTACTCAAGCAACAGTTAACTGGTACAGGAGATTACTTAATTACTTGGCAACAATTAAAGATCCTTAGAAATAACTCAAGCAAAGGTAAAAAGGTGAAGTGGTTCCAAGTAATAGAAAAGATGGTGCTAGAAGATGAAGAGAGCAGGATTGTCAAGACAAAGTTTAAGTTAGAAAGCTTAAACTCTTGGATGCTCTGGGTGGTCCCAAATTTACTCAATAAAGATGGTAGAAAGAAAGAGTGGATTTTAACCCAGAGTACAAAGAACAAAGAAAACCAAACCCCAGTTATCAAAAAAGTCACCAAGAAGAAGAAGAAAAAATCTGTAACAGAGCACTGGAAAACAAAAAAAGATCCAAACACATTATCTACCAAACTAAAGAAGTGTAATGGATGCGAACTAGATCAGGGAATAGAAGAAGGTACCTGCAAGTCTTTAACAAAAGATAGTGAAATCCTTGGTGCCATTTCAAAATTTGTAAATAAACAAGGGAAAAACACCTTAAAGTCAATCAAGAAGCCCTTATACCTGCTCAGAAGCTCTCTGTATTAAAATTACCTGCAGATGAAAATGAACTACAAGAGATTCATATCCCTGATCTAAATATCAAAATCATTAAAAAACAACACATTAGTTTAAAGATTCAAGAAGATCTCATTAAAAGGAATATAATAGCACCCAACATCTAATGATATTCTACACAGATGGATCCTTAAGAAGTATCAACAGCCTCTCACAAACTGAACCTGTTAAGATGAGAGCCGGTTGGATGCAGGTGAATGAAGATGAAAGCAAATTACTAGATAAGGGATGTGTCGGAGCAAGAAATTGGCCATCCTCGACAAAAACTGAGCTGTTAAAAATATAGTGTGTACTCCTTATTGTACCAAGAGAAAGGAAAGTTAAGATCTATACAGATAGTGCCTTAGCAATAGAAAGTATAAAAGAAAGAAAAAGAAAGAAGAGAATATGACAGATCTTAAATGAGGAAAACTATAGTTTAGTAAGTAGCATAGTTAATATAGTTAGAACTAAAAATATTCAGCTAGATTTAGTTAAAGTTAAAGGTCATAGCGAAAATAGATGAAATATTTTAGCAGATAAATTAGCGAAGAAAAGTGCCAAAATAGAAGATAAAGACAATATTATAGAAAAACCCCTCAAGAATCAAGTGTCTCATTGTATTGGGAAGGTTTGGCAATAGAAGGCTCAACTAAACAATTTATACAGACAATTCTCAACTTCCAAACCAGTATAGAATGGAAAACAATATTAGCAATACAGAAGAAAGAACCAGAAGATTCAGAAAACACATACCATTGGCCTATTTTTTGAAAGAAAATCAAGAACCAATCAGGAATTAAATGTACGAGTCTAAAAAAACAAATATTTTGGTGTATTGGTCAAGTGCCTTCACAAGAAGTTACCAGTCCTCAAGGTGTTAACTAACAGAAGACCAGACCTGTACCAAAATTCCTTTTATATAGTTTGTAGAAAAAATAAAGAGGAGGACCAAGATTATTTGACGAAATGTGAGAAATATGAAGAGAAATGGAGAGAACTGAAACAATTGATATCCAATCTAGCCTGGGCAAACCTCTCAAGAGAAGCAAGAAATCATCTCAACAAGGACAATCTCAAGATCATTTTTTGGGGACCATCAAAAGAGGAAAAAAATAGAACAAGAGTTGGTATCCTTAAGAGTCTAGTTCAAGAAAAAACTTTCAGAAAGATTCTCAATATCATAAAACCTCTAAAAGATATGAAGAATTACCTGGAAAATGCAGTAAATCTGGTATGGAATTTCTTTTATGAGAATATATGAAAGTGAAGATGCACAGAGATTAACGAATAGGAAAAAATAGAAGAAATTGACAAGAAATGTAAGAGAGGGAAAAAGTTGAAATTAGAAAGCCTAATTTTCAGCACAGAACAGACACGAGAATCTACAAGAGATTATGTCGTAAACCAAGATCAAACCAGAGGAAAAGTTAAAAAAAAAGGAATAGAAAAAATTAAAGAAGAGAAAAAAAACAAAAAGAAAAATCTTGGTTAGTCTTAGTTAAAAATTTTTGGATAAATAAACTGAAGCCATTTTGGTATGGCTTCAATGGCTAGCTTGGTATAGTTTTTCGGTACAGACAAAGCCTTAACCGGTAAGGCAGACCGCTTTTGGACACCTCTTGGGTTAGCTGAGAGATGTCAAATCTGTAGTTTAGATAGTGAATTATATATATACATATATGCTTTGATCTAATAAAAATACTGGCGAGGTTGCCGATAATGTCAAAAAAATAGATAAATTGTCTATTAAATAATTCAAATTAAAATTTATATCTGGTATGTTCTGATTTTATGCTTTGATATTGGTTTAAATAATTTAAATTAATATCTATAATTGGCATGGTCTAATTCTATATCTCTGTATTAGTTTAAATAAATCTTATTTATATATATTTTTTTATAGAATTTTACTAATTATAACTAGCAAAAATTATTGCTAGTGTATAATTAGCTAATAAAATTGCAAGATCAGATATAATGTACAAATTAATTTGTGTAACTAAAATAAATTTTTTTTTAAAAAATGTTGATATTTTAAAAATTCATCTATGAAACTACTTTTGATATTTAAAAAAAAAATATTTCTTACTAAATTTTGCATATACTGTTGATCCTCCCCAAACTGATCCTGTCAAAACTGATATCCTACCATAATCAGTTAAAAATTGATCCACCAGGTCTGTTCCTTAAGTCATACCCGATAATCTACCATTTCTAATATCCGATAATCCGAATATATACATTTTCGATTTACCATGTATGGTCACATGATCAGAAGCCAATCAAATCATTAATTATTAAGCAAAATGTGAAATCATACAGTTAGACTCTCTCTAAATACAATGCGACGGCTATATGTAAAATTTAATCAAACGTGTACTTAGAGAGATATTGTATTTAGGTAGGTAGAAATCTACAAGTATAATATTAGTTGGGCCCAAGAGAAAATGTTCTTTAGAGAGGCTTTTCATAAAACGTGTACTTTTAGAAAGGTAGTATTTAGAGGAGTCTGACTGTACTTATTATCAAGTACAGTATACGAATCTCAGATAAATATGACTTTCATTATTGTATTGCATTTATTACTTTTCATTCTCTTCCTTTACATTGCTAATACCTTTTTTTTTTTTTTTTATCTTATGGCACAATTTTTTTTTTTCAAGATTTTTTCCAAATATTGAAAGAAAAAAAAAAGTAAAACTAAAACAATCCTTCGTTCAAGTGAAGTATTGATCCAATCTACATTGGACTTGCTTCCTGGCCTTCTCTTTCTGAACCTCTTCTCGAATACAGGATTGTAGTTTGCGTAAGGATTTCATTATTATACCACTATCATCGATTCTTTCATTCACGATCCTCAAGGCACCACGCAAAATATTCAATTGTTCTTCTCCAGTTAAGGTTGGTATTACGAATTCCTCTTCTACCTGTTTGACTTCTATCGCAGCTTGGATCAGATCTTCATCAGTAAACTGGTGGTGTGCTTTTCATTCTTCTTCAAGGTTTAGTAAATCTTTAATTAATAGTGGATTCTGAACAGGTAATACATCTATTTGCTGCTGAAGTTCTTTGACTGTTAATTTATTATTTGGATCAGGAGGTGGGTTTTCTTCCATATCATTAATGCTTTCAACAATAGCATAGAAGTGACAGGTACTCTGTTTTCATCACGAGGAGATACAACTTTTGTGCAGAACCAACATCTTCTAATCGTTTCAGGAGATACTTCATTCTAGCCAATCTTTGTCTATTTCATAGCCTGCAATTAGTGATACGAGTCAGTAAAAATTTATTTGTACTTTTTTTTTTTTTTAACAATTTTAATCTTAAATTAAAAAAAAAAAAAAAAAAAAAAATCCAAAATAAATCTACTGATTTCCAGCTTAACCAAATAATCACTTTCTATCATATTACTACCTACAATTGATTTTGGAAATGTTCTTTTGTTTTTTCAAGAACCTTCTCTGAGTTGATAATTAGCTCTCTTTGTAGTTCTAT